CTTTGACACTTTGAGTGGTATTCTGTTGCTCCTGAGATAGAATAGCTTTAAAACTTCACAGAGCTTCGAATTGCAGTGAAATCGTTCGTTTGAATCACGATAAAGGACGAATCGGTTCCCCTTTATAACTGAGTGAACAGTCCGACAACTTCTTCTTCTGTGCCTCCATACCGACACATTCTGTCTACGGACAAATCGCGTGCACAAAACCCCGCCTGTTCTCCATATTAACTTTTGTCAAAAATTTCACCAACAATAAAGACAAGCCTTACAAAGACTGAGTAAGAATCCATAAATACGCAAGCGCTGAACCTGTGCTGGAAACTTTACAGATACAAAGAAAATGGCAGTTTTTTGAGACTCAACGGGACTTATCACATATTTACGGGCAAATGATAAAAAAATCGAGTTCTAAGGTTTTAATGATAAAATTTCACTATAATGTCCCATACGGAAGTTTTAACATTTCAAGATCTCTTTGTAACAAGGACGCATTTTAATCTCTTTGGGTAACAAACAAATCTATAAAGATTACTAGGAAACAAAACGCAGTATTGGGCCTACCTGGTTGTCTTGGACGCTCCCGTTGCCATTTTTGAGAAAGTGGAGATCTGGGACTCCTCTCCATGCGAATTGTTCTAATTCCTTTAGGAGTACTTCTTTCTGCTCGGGGTCTGAGTGTAAGACCTGTTCCAGTCGAAACTGAACCTGCAGTAGCGAACATATTATTCGGTTATTAATGGTAGTGTTAATTAAATTTACGTCGAAAATTGTCCTGTGGAAAACTGATTGTGTACATATAGATAAAAAAGGGGAGAGAATACAGTTAGAGAAATTTAAAAAGGATTGCTACTTAAGCAGGAGAAAATGCAAGAGAACAGTGAGAAGTCAAATGAATAAGACCGTATTTGGACGTCAGCGACCAAATGGGGAGAACTATGCCATAGAAACCATAACGGTGGTGTTGGTCTGTTTGCCCACGTTATTCGATTACCAACAACAAGCACTAGCATCATAGGGTTCGACATACGCCGAGGATTGGCGTTACTTCCGCATGTACAAACTTGAACCATCAACAAAAGCGACAGAGTTACCATACAAAAGAGGCATCAGCAGAACTGTATTAATAAACGCGCGTTCACTGTCGCTTGCCATCACCTCGCCGCTGCGGGTGTATTTTTTTGCCCCAACAGTAAAAGTTTAAGAAACGAACGAAAGCACAACTAAATTATTCAACATATTAAAGACGGCAACAGCAACAGAAGCAGGAAAAACTACAGTAAATTATATCCACGTTGTCAGGGCACATTCTGTGGACTCGAATAAATCACAAAACTGGCAACTAAACAACTCCACCTATTGCGTAGTATACAAGCCGAAACCTGTGAATATGGTCTGCGCGATTATGGTGTACGAACGAGTATTTGAATGCTTGTGAAGTCATTAACGGAGTGAGATAAAGAAGAAGCTCACATAGACCGAAACATCCAAAGTGCCAGAAAACCGACATACTTAGGAAGACTCCTGACGTACGCTCTAGCGTAGTACGTACGAAGCAATGGAAACGGAATAAAAACAATCTCTCAATCTTTCGAGAGCATAGTCGAAAAATTATGGGAATTTAAAGAGCCCAAATCCGCCGTATATTCTATATCTATCTGGATATTTGGAACCACAGCGAAAAAATCAACTAAAAAGACAGTACAAGAGCCCAAAAGGACACTTTCATGGCATTTAAAAATGTCCACAAGGAGCATACCCAATAATAAAAATAAAGCTGATGCTGGGATAAGAGTTTTTTTTAGGTTAAAGGTGATTATGAGGAGCTTCATAAGAGCAGTAATGAAATACTGGCACCAAGCGGCATACACGAAATCCTGCACGACTATACGCTTCTGCTAGAATGACGATCAAAATGAAATAAAACGGGTCAGACGCATTTTTTGTAGTTTTGCCGCTGAATGAAAGTACAAAGTTCACAAAAAGTAATGTAAACAAGGGAGAAAGCTCGTAAGTTGGGAAGAAAATGAGCAAAGGAAACTATGCACATTACAGATTTGTACTGCGTTATGAAATTACGATACAAGCAAATAAGGGATCGAGTTTGCTTAAATAGGCCACTTTGACGTACTATGACTATATGACTCTTTTCCTTGCCATAGCAATAAAAGTACACTTGCTTCAGCTCTGTGATCCCACAAGCAAGATACATGCGTCCGTATGGTTCTTTACGGTGATACTTACAGACACACTGGTATAACACACAAATTGTCTACAGAGATAACTGACGTTAGACAAGTATAACGCACGATAAAGTTGGTAACTATTTATACCTTCCGTACACCTTCACCTTGTCTTATGTATCATTGTTAAAATTGAACACTTGCGATTTTTAGATATGAATAGGGAGCTCAATGGCGAAAGGCTTCTTTCCTTAATAAAGCGACAGTTCAAATAAAGTTGCGGGATCGATGCGCGTAGAGAGCAGGCGCTCAAAAATTAAAACATATCTTTCAATCTCCACCAGAAAAACACAGAAAAACGTCACTATCAACACACTGAAGTCCAAAGTAACACCAAGAACACTATAACCAAGAAATTATTCCAATTAATGGCGATTGCAACAGCGACCACATAAAATGAAAGCGATTATTTCATTAATTAACATCAGCATAAAGTCTGAAAATGATTCGCCTATCAAACGAAACGGAAAACTCGGGACCCTATCGGCATAGGAAAAAAGTAAGCCGTAGAAATTGTCCAAACGTGCAAACAGTGGCCACGAAGCCCAAAGATCAAGCTGACATGACATTCGCATACATGAGTACAGAAAAAATCATGCACGCCAAGTGTTTATACAATTGACACGACATTCGCATACATGAGCACAGAAAAAATCATGCACGCCAAGTGTTCATACAATTGACGCGACATTCGCATACATGAACACAGAAAAAATCATGCACGCCAAGTGTTTATACAATTGACGCGACATTCGCATATATGAGCACAGAAAAAATCATGCACGCCAAATTTTTATCCAATAAGCGTTTTTCTTTATTTCTGACGCTAAGATATTGCGCTCTTAGGGTTCGTATTTCTTTGATTGTCAGAATTAAGTGTATAGGGGTTAAAGTTTCACGCTCCGTAAATCCATGCTAGAGTTTCACTCATCACTGCAGTACTGACGTAGTTCAATACACTGTAGTTCTACTTGGACCGTCACAAATCTAGATTACATATTTTGCAGCAACTGTGTATGAATAAAATAAGAAACTTTACAACAAAGCGTCTAATACACATTTCGCGCGGACTATACTCCCCACAGAGAACAAATACAATGAACGTTTAAAATGTATTCACGCAAGGTCTTACAGAACCATAGCAGTGAAAGCAGGAAAAATGGAAAGACTAAAAGCTTAAACAATAATTGACTTAAAAGTATATTCAGATCGCGAGGTTAAAAGGTTAAAGAGCGTGCCATAAGAGAATGCAAATTGCGACAAAGAATTGATTTCAAAATGAAAATTGATATCGTATAGCTGAATTCAATAGGGTAATTGAAGGTTTAAAATTCTTCGGCAAATTATCGGAAGAAAGTTTAGAGAATTAAAGATTAACTGGGACAAAAAATCAATAAATGCGATACAGGCAGACCAAAGCGTCCAGCGTATAACGCCCTCTTTTCAATAACAAAATATATAAAACCCTACCTGTGCAAAATGCGAAGTTAGTGAGAGGAGTGCAGTGTTCAGAATCTCATGTTCCTCCATTATATTTTGCAACTTCAGTTCTTCAGAGAAATCCGTTTCGTTACAGGTCTCGTTTCCATCGTTCGCACCAAGAGGTGCCCAACGAATCATAGGCTTTCCATTTTCATCCAAGACTTCAGATGCTTCGCCTGAACTTTCATCAAAATTCGCGACAGATGAGTTGGGTGTTGACACCATGAGATCAGTCGCACCGTCAGACATGATGCATACACCAAGTCAACTGAAGCGCTCTCAGAGTCAGCTGATTTTCAATCGCAATTG